TATTATTACTACTCGTTTCATGAAAAAATGGTTGGGCTACAATTTTTCAGGCTTTTTTTAACAGTTATGAAACAGTTTTAAATAATTTACAGGATAATCAGACCGATAACTCCATTTTATCGTTGGAAGAACCTTGTTTACTTGAAAACAATGAAGACAATGTTGCCAATACAAACATTCATGCATTCATGAAAAAGATGGAGGCAGACTTTGAATATCTGACCAATGAGTTTAAAAGTTTAGCGAAAAAGTGAGTGATTCATTTTAAATCGTTTGCGATTTACTAATGCGTAAAGTTAAAGTCTACAACTAGAGGCCTCAGTAATGCTGATAGTTTTGTTAGGTAGTATCAGCTATACTCTGTGGATTTAATTGTATGTTAGAGAGTGGATGTTAATTGAGTGAAATGATTAAGAATGTGTAGTACATAGACAATTCTATAAAAAATAAAATTTCGAAAAGTTGTTAATGCATGATGAAACTACTTTTATGATCAAGAACTATGGGGTGAGGAAATTTAGGAAATAAATTCACCACCATAATGTTGAGCAGTATTATACTGGTGCATGTATAAGTTTGCAATATTACTTGTTCAAGTTTACAGCATATACTAGCCGCGTTCTGAAGTTTAAATTAAGGTTGTAATACATTACCAAAAATGTATGACCATCCTACTATGCAAATGAACGAAAAGTGAGTTGGGAGGGTTATCATCACATATGAATAACAGTTATTATATCTCTTGCATACTTGTGTTTATAAGAGACCGGACAGAAGAATGTAAGTGAAAATCCAGCTCAAATGAAAAATTTATCTACAATAGGTCATCGAAACTTGAATCTCCTCCAACTTATTGTCAAACACCATGTACATAAGTATTCATTTTTACATAAATAAATTACCTCACGCTTAAATAATGAAACCTGTTTCTAGACCAATTATATGCTCAGGTACATTGAGCTGACTCCCAAATAGATCGAAGCGCATATGCCGAATGCCACTGCTATCCAAACTCCATATATTCCGTATAAACAGTAATAGCTATTTTGAGGAAAGATAAATCCAGTACATTGCATTAGATTTTCACAACCTCTTTTTCAAAGAAATGATTAATTTTCTCATTTCTCCAACTCGTTAACTTATTTCATTTTGTCAAATTAGAAACAGAAGTATCTTTAACCATTCTTATATTTGCCAGGGAATATTTTAATATTGGTTTTCATCAGCAGAATCCGGACGCCATACGGGTTTTTGCAACCTGAAAAACATAGCTCATTCTCATGGTCTAACCATACAGATATCAAAAAACCATGCTACTTGACCGAAATTGCTTTGCTATCCAAGATTATTGCATTGTGGAATTTTGTTCCTTTTTATCTGATTGATACATGACTTTAAATTTGAAAAGAACGAAATCAATTATTTTATTATCAAATTTATTTTTCACTGAAACCATGAATCGATCAAGTTTTTACCAATATTAGCAACCTAGAAGCACTGGATATCCACTTCACACCAGTATTGGACTTTTCATTGGCGTGTATTTACAACCCTGTAGGCGAGAGTCAAGCTGTAGACAGTCGGCCTCGTTCTCAAACGCTTAACCACCTGATTTTTAGGTCGGCATCCACTGATGTTAATGTCTAACGTCAGTCATTCTGCGATATTTTACGGCCACTATCCAGTGTGTAACGTATATGACGTTAATTATTCTTGCTGTATTCAAGGTTACTAATAACAACAGTTTTTTTATGAATCATCGCTTTAAAACAGACACTACTACACTATTTTCCATCTAAGAATCATAAAATATACAACGTAGTTGTATGTTTTATGATAAAAAGTGTTTATCAGTTGCATTGTACGCCTGGCAAATCAGACATAAATCGCTGATGAAATCCATGGTCAATCTGTCTATTTCGAAACGATATAAGGTTTTAAATTTAACTCGTTGTTGAAAGTAAAAACTGCATTGAATATTTGCATTATTATCAAGTTTTTTTCACTGAAACCATGAATCGATAAAGTTTAGACTACTAATAGGAACCTAGAAGCGCTGGACATCTGTTTCAGATGAGCATGGGAATCCTCAATAGAGTGTATGCGGGAGTGGAACCTGGGACACTCGGCCTTGTTCGCAAACACCTAACCACCTGGTTACTGGGTCAGCATCGACTGGTGTTAGTGGCTAACGTCAAAAAATCCATGATATTGTGCGACCATTATCCAGTCTGTAACTTCCTCAAACCTAACATACTTGAACTTCACTGATCACAGCCATCCAGTTCTTCCAGGTTTCTAATAATGACCCGAACATTGATCAATTCATGACTCCAATGAAACTCAACACTCTCCACATACCTATGATGACATTTACATTTTATTTTTGTTTTTCTTATTTCAATCAATAATGACCTGTAATAATTTTTTTTTTACTTTACTGACATACAAATATTAGAATTGAAGATTTTGAAAAATTGAATTGGAGTGAATTATTTCACAATTTTCGTATAAAAATTCAAGAGAAAACAGTGAAGATGTGTATGTAAGTTTGGCACAAAATTAAATTATTACATTAAAATAATGTTACACCTACACGTAAACACGTCAATTGATATGCTTGAACTATCAGGAGTTTACCTTAGTCAGTAAACGAGAGCGAGGATCGAAGATCCCGCGACACGACAGGTTACTCTGATTCGAGTGTCTCAAGCCCCCACTGAATAGAAGAAGAAGAAGACTTAGTATGGAGTAGAACGTGTATTCTACAAACATCCAGAAAGTACGAGGTCCGAGTCCAGAAGAGAATCAGTATCCCGGACTAGAGATCCAGGTCAAGGTCATAAAATGTTACAGTTAATGCATATTTATACAGTTAGATCGAATAGGAAGCAACACTGAAGTCTGTGACATTGACAGTCAGGACGACCAATAAGAAACACCATCGGGAGTGATACTGATAGTTGGGACGACCAATCAGGATCAACCAGTAGAATTAGACTTACAAACAATTATTATTATCTTAGGACATTGATTGAATATTCTAACAAATAATAAATTTTAATTTTTCTTACCCTTTTTTTTCTTTTATTTACTAATTAGATCATATATCATTCAAGAATTGAATCAAAATACTTTTAAAGAATAATATTTCATCAAAGTGAAATTTATAGGAATAATGTTTAGATAAATATTATATTTAATGGCAAATATTTACCATATCAACAACTACAAATGTTATGTAACAGTAATGTGAATATATTTCTATTGAACTGTATTATATTTTTTGCTAGATTTTCAATAAAATATTACTTACTTATACTAATGCCTGTAACTCTCAATGCAGCATAGGCTGCCTATCAGCATTTTCCTATCTGGGTCTTTCTTTCCAGCTCCAATCAACTGCTGTTCATTCTTTTCATGTCTGCTTTCGATTCACAGCTTGATGTGTTGTTTGATCTTCCGCGTTTCTTTTGGCCTTGAGGATTTTAATTGAGGGCTTGTCTTGTGACATAGATAGTTGCTAACCTCAATGTGTGTCCTATGCACTTCCAGCACTTCTTCCTCCGCTGGAATTTGGTTTTTTATATCCCATAGTAAGTTTTTGTTGATGGTGTTTGGCTAGTGTATCCGAAGTTGCTTGCATGGACAACTGTAAGCAAACGCTTGTACCTTCTGCATGATAGCTTTCGTAGGTCTTCAAGTTTCCGCCTCATACAGTAAGACTGTCTTGACATCCAAAAAATTGGAAATAGATATTTCTATAAAAAATATGATAATTAGGTCCGTCAGTAGTAGATTAGAAGTCACACATATCCCCGTAGTTAGGACTTGCCAACTGATATGCTCGAAACTATTATGAGTTCACCTTACTCGGTAAACGGAACGAAGAGCTATTCTCACCCGTTTGTCCTAGGCCCTGCTAACTAGATCAAGAAGACTTAATAAGGCGTAGAAGGTGTATTTTACAGGCATCCAGAAAATACGAGGTCGACAAGCATACAAATCAAGCTTCTTTGTACAATGATAGAAACGCCTATGCCAGAGCCACAATATAACGTACCAAAATAATCCATCAACCAATGAAAGTCAAGGACTGTCCAAAGGGGAAATGCAGGCTAAAGGTCAACTGGAGCGAAAACATGGAAGTTAAAAATTTCAGAATAAAATTACAAAATTAGGACCTTTTCAAGGGAGTTCTGGGGATCTAACCTCGTCAACAACTTGCATCCTAGTAATGAGATTTACATGTACACACCAGCCTAGTACCTTTCACCTCAGATACCTAACTCGTTATCAACCAAGCTTCTCAGTACAGGTAGCTACTAATTTGTCCGAAAAAGATATTATTGTTATCTGATCATAAGTTCAAGTCAAGGGATGGTCCCAATTCATCCAGCTGACGATTCTCGAACAAGAGGAGACTTGCTTCTTCAACTACACTATCCATCTTTACTTTAAAATGCTTATGACCGATGACTCTATCGGGGAAGATTTACTCACAAGATTCATGTAGCAAATAAAGCTAATCAATCGCAGTCCATAACATGAACGACAGGAAGTAAAGTAGAATTCGTTTTTGCAAAATCATATTTAACCGAACTCCAAGAACACCATAAGTAATCACCTCAATCCCTAATGAGGTTGTAGATAGGCTTTACTGAGACGCTCCTTAAACTAGGATGAATGGAATAGCTTTTTAGTGTATGATCTATATGTAAGCACCTCACAAATAAATCATTCAGTTGGGAGAATGAAACTTTTTTCAAACACATTGAAATTGAGCAACAATTTAAAACAATCGATAACACCAGGGAATTTATTTTATTCAATAACTAGTTATAATTATTAATCAATGTTTTCAATAATTTATTTTTGAACGTCATCATTGTATAATATCATGAAAACCGGGGTCGGTGGGGGGGGGGTGTTGGTTTGTTCAGCTTTTACCCCATCTGCGTGTATGTATGATGTAATAAATAGGAAACCATTATCACTCATTATTCAAATTCATGTTTTGCCTGTATACACGCATCGACCGATTCGTCGTTGGTATTCTCTCGTTCTTCACCAGTGATTTCAATAACATTCTGATTAGTTGTTTCATTCGAGTCGACAATAGTATTATGTTCATTTAAAGTTGTATTCATCATACATGGTGTGTCATTCGGTTTATGATCATCGGCTTCATTGCATAATTCTTCAATGAATGCAGACTACAAGCAAAAATAAAAAGAAATATTGAAAACAATCTATCAGTAGTCGTTTTGGACGATAAATTAGAAAAGTGATTAATTATTGAATAACGTAAATACATCACAGAATTGATATTTTCATCAATATTTTTGGAAAATTACTATTCATTAATTAAACATTATTTAATGAATATTCATGACCTTTAATTGAAAAAAAAAACAAACAATTTAATCAGTTCAAAGAAAAAAATATTTATTTTTTTCAATCAATGCATCGGAAAGGCATTTGACAAGGAAAGGGATTTTATCAGTTGTTTCGTCCCTGTTCGATCACTAAACAGTCAAGTGTGTTTAGGAATGATTCTTGTATGGTTGAGTTCGGGAAATGCTCTTTTGGTAACGGTTCTTAAGTAAGATTGATAAAGTCAGATTGTTTGAGGTCTCTGGAGCTGAAGCAAGACAAAGCGTCAGTGGTAGTCCAGACTGTAGGTGGTAATAGAACGACAAAGGTTACGAATGCGTCTTTCGAGGTATATTCTTTTGATCAGTCTGAACATGTTGTGATTGAAGGAGCTTTGATTGTGTCAAGTATACCGTAGCATAAGCCAACGAAGTCGGCAATGGATAACCTAATAAGGTGGCCGCGTTTAAGTGATGTACCAATAGAGAGTCTAGACTCTGGGGAAATTCTACTTTCGATTGGTTGTGATGTGTCGGAAGCACATTAGGTGTTGGATTAGAGGTTGGGTGGAAGGGAAAACCCGTTCGCTGTGAAAACGTTGCTGAGGTGAGCTGCTTTTTGACCGGCATCATACCCGGAATTTAGGAAAAGAGTTGTTAATCATACTGGTAAAGTACGAACATTGGAGAACCGAATTCGTAAGCTTTATGATGTGAAGTTCGCTGACGTCTATTCGAGTGATAAATCAGTATCAGTAGAAGACAAGGCGGCCATAGAGATCGTGGAGAGGGGCACGCGCTTCGGCAATGGTCATTTTATAGTTCCTTTACCGTGGAAAAAGAATCCAAATCCTTCACAAAATCTTATTGTATTTTTATAATATTTGATGCGTAGAAAAATTTTCCGAAAGATTTTAGTAAAATGTTTTAAAGCTTGCTCATAGTAAATTCTAAAAGAAAACCTCAACTGCTTGTCAATATATTCAATTCCAATGTAATGAATGGTCTAAAAGTAATACTCCTTCTGAGAAATTTTAATTTACATGATTTGATGTTCAGTAATGTTATTCATTCACATTTTTGAACGGATTTATACTTAGCAAAAATATAGCTGTATAGTGAGTGCTCTGAAATCAATCTGTTATGTAAGGTGTTAACTACGCCGCTACATTTATTTTGTGTACTACTTTATACTACTGAATAGCTGTCAGTAACCAATGTTTATTAATTGTAATATTTTGTGAACGTCCAGGGTAATGATTATCACAGATATCCCACGATATGATTGCCTTCAAAGCACACAAATAATTTCATCAGCACACTTTGTCTTATTGATTTTTCGTTGTTGCATTAATCTCACTTCAAATGCCATACAGTCTTCCCATTTAATATTTTATCTGACTATTTAAATTCACAAACTATTTCTGTTGGCCAATGTTATCTTTTGTGTATTTGACTTCATCGTGGCCATTTTTCAGACTGCCACTTTGAGTGTAAAACAGTAAAATCTGAAGAGAATCTATTGAAAATGATCGGTCTGATTTATATATCGGTGTTTCAATAATATAACAGGAGATTTTCAAACGCTTAAGATAATAAAATCATTCTTTTTAAAATAAATGTCCTCATTACGAATTCGGATATCATGATTATATATATTTCCGTCTAAGTAGACGCTTCACAGTCGAATTATGTTACGCCTGCAAGTAAACACGTCAACTGGATATACTTGAACTATTACGAGTTTACCTAGTCGGAAAAACGAGAGCGAGGATAGAGGATCCGGCGACACGACATGCTACTCAAATCGTATTATCCCAACCCCCATATTTAGTAAGAAATAAGAAGACGTGATATGAAGTAGAACCTGTATTCTACAAGCATCCAGAAAGTACGAGGTCCGAGTCCAGAAGAGAATCAGGATCCTGGACTAAGGATCCGGGACCGAGCCCTGGTCCTGGTCGTGGTCATAAAACGTTACAGATAATGCCTATTTATACATTTTGGTCGAATAGGAAACAGCATCGAATTCTGTGACATTGACAGTTAAGATGACCAATAGAAAGCAACATCTGAAGTGACATTGATAGTCAAGACAACCAATAAGAAACAACATTGGAGTACGTGACATTGATGTCTAGGACGACCATAAAATTGACCAGTAGGAATTGACCAATAGGAATAGATCAATAATTCTCTTAGGCTATTGGATGAATATCCTAACAGATTACCATATTCATTATTTTAAATTTTAAAGACTAATAACGGATATTGATGTGACAAAAAAACTCTGACTCACTTTCGCAGTATGAGATACATTTTCTCTAATCTAAATTTTTGCAATTTTAAAAATATGAAAAAAGAAACAGAGTGGAAATTGTTAATTCATGATAAAACTGGATTCAATAATAATAATAATAATAATAATACTGATAATCAATTTTTATTAACTGAAGCATTGATTTCAAACGGTTATCCGCTAAAGTTCATCAATAGGTGTAGAAATCAGTCAAGACAAAAGTTCGTTTTTTTATTCTACTGAGAAGAGAAAGGTTTATATCACTTAAGCATTTAGGGGCGAATCAGATAGTTGAATATTAAGACAGGGCCTAAAAGCAGCCATAGACTAAAACATATTGCGCTGCTAAACTGATTATTATTGAAAAGACTAAGCCCATGATTCTACATAGACCTAGTCGTTGCTTGAATGATTACACTACATTCCACTGCATTGATCAATTTACATGTTTGTGTAGACACACACGTATGTAGGGAGGAGTAATCGGACTTTGCAATCGTGTACCTAATTGGCTTCAAAATCAGTTAACTTGAGATGAGCCGATAAACGTGGGAATTAGAAAACCATGTTCATCGATGGCTAAATACATAATTGAGACAGGGCATAAGATTGATGTCAAGATAGCTTTCAAGACATTGTATAGAAATGTTGAAGGACGAATTTTGAGGTTTTTGGAAGCCTTGGCTATTCGAGAATTAAAACCCCTTTTATGTGTACAGAAACAATTTGTTATCAACTTGAATTTACCCTGGTAATCTTTAAGCCTAAGGGGTAATGTGACAATCTGCCTACCCTTTCTTATTCTCTTCATATTACGTTGATTTTCTCTCCACTTTATTTACAATTATCACCTTATGTCTATCTGAACTTTTATTTAATAGACTGTTGGGGATTTTAGATCCCCAGAACTCGCCTGATAAATGCCTTATTTTGGATTTCACGTTTGCGAGCATGGGCTGATCAGTTAACCTTGAGATTTCATTTCCCAGCAGGAAAGTCCTTGGCTGTGATTGATTGCTGTGTATTTTAGTGTGCTATTTCCTTAACTGTCCCAAGGACGTTTTAATGATGTATAAATAAACGAGAGTTGTGTGTTTGATTGCATTGTGATTGCTGGGTGTTTGTAGAACATAATTTCTACGCTTACCAAGACTTTTGTTTTACAGCTTGGAATTCAAGGTAGCCTACCTGCACGCTCGTTCATTGTCTCGTTTGCGTTTATCAACTAAGGTGAACTCGTAATAGCTTCAAGCGTACCAAGTGACGAACATAACATTTATCTTTTATTAATCTTTATAGAAAACGCCTTGATAAGTATATGTATGACCCGATCGTTCGAAATGTGTATAGCGCAAACACATCACATTTTTCAGCTCAATTACGTCTTCTCATTGGTGTTTCTGTTTGTTAACTTTTCAATTCTATTGCTGTTGACAATATAACTTATTCATTTTTAAATCTTACTTACACTCAAAAAGCTTCCCAAATATCATTTTCAAAAAGTTTATTCTATGCGTTTCTTTCTGCCTGATCTAATTCATAAAGAAACTTAATCAACACATATAAGCCAACAATATTGTTGTCGATTAGATCGTCATCAGGCTTTACTCTAATGTACATGAATGTTAAACCAATCAAGGCAATTTGAGATTCTGTTCCGAAGCAATCACTTTCAATATACTTTAGGATATCTGTTAGACTGAATACAATTAATAGCAAATCCTAAGCTCGTTTTCGGTTCCGTAAGACGCGCATTAAACTTCAGGAACTCATTGAGTGCCTTAAATGCAGCAGGATCACCACATGATTTAAGTGTATTAGACGGCCTTTTAGCCCTATTATGGACCTCCACAGCATTGCACACCCTTGACCACTGCAAGTGAGAATCGAAACCAGAGCCTTTAGTCTCACGCTGAAAGGCTTAATCTCTTTTGACCACTGAGACGATATCCACTGCTGTTAATTTCTAACATCAATCAGTTCACGATCGTGACTAACATTCGTTTGTTACCAGCGCAGAAAACTTTCTCTCATATGTCAGTCAGTCAGTCAACAACAGCAGAGAACACAAAAAGTGGATGAACCTGCGCTATGGCAAACGATTTTGAGCCATGTCATTCAAAGTCTCTTACCAGTGGTTACTAATGTCGCTCGGAACTCAACCGGCTAGTCTATACCTATTAACATGACTCAGTTCATTTGTCAGTGACTACAAGGATTTGTGCCATGTTTTGATCTGGCTTCCCCGTAGATTTCTTCCAACCTACTTCTTTTACACAACAAAACACCACTTATCGAGGCAGCCGTTGGTTTGGCATTCGTAACATATGTCCAAACCATCTGAACTGATGAATATGAAGAACGTAACATGGATTAAACTTCACGTGTCACGACTTCTCATCAGAACTGCAGAAATTCATCTTAAAATAACAAGAAATATTTGCTGAATACTTTAAAAGACTAAATAATTACTTACAGTTTCTTCAGTTAACACGATTGTTTCATCAAGCTGATCTGTTTAATAAAGAAAAATGAATCATTCTGATAATCAAAATGTTTTTTTTAAAGTATTGTTTCTTTTAAACTATTAAATGTTATATCAAATTTGAGAGAAAAACACTAGTGATTTCTTACCTCTTGTTTTAATAAACTTCAATAATCATCAATCAGTCATTGTTAGACCACCATTAGAAACCTGGAAACACTGCTGATGAGTCCCATAACAGGACGAAAAGGCCGTCCAGTGCTTCCAGGTTTCGAATGGTGGTCTAACAATGATTGATTGATTGATAATTTCAAATTTGTAAAAACACAAACCTCCAAAACTCTGCCCAAAAACTTCAATAAGCCAAAAAACAGCAATTATAGTAAGATAATTATAATAATATTAGTGGCCAACTCCGCCTGGAGCCCCTTTGGAGCTACTGCTGATCCCAAGCTCAGATAAAGGAGAAGAGTTTGGCATGATGGCGTTAGCGACCTTATCTCGCAGGAAACTAACTCACCAGGAAAAACGCTAACCAGAAAGAAATTCAAGTAAGGAATACGAATGGCTATCATTATTTTACTTCTTTTGCTGAAGTTTCATCCTCTGAGTTCGATAATTCGATTGCGGAGCTTCGATTGTTCTCCTCACTGAATAAAACATCATCAGTCAGCATGATCTTTTAATAGAGGCGAAATTACATCTATCTAACTAATTGTTAGGATATTCATCCAATATCCCAAGAGAATTATTGGTCAAATCCTATTGGTCGATTTCTATTGGTCAAAATTATAGTCGTTTTAACTGTCGAAGTCAAATACTTCAATGTTGTCTCTTATTGGTCATCCGGACTGTCAATGTCATTTCAAACGGTCTTTCTTATTGGTTGTCCTGACTATCAATGTCACTTGAAATGATACCTTCTATTGGTCGTCTTAACTGTCAATGCCACAGAATTCGATGCTGTTTCCTATTCGACCAACATGTATAAATACGCGTTATCTGTAACATTATATGACCACGACCAGGACCAGGACCTGGTCCCGGGTCCTTATTCCGGGGTCCTTATCCTCTTCTGGACTCAGACCTCGTACTTTCTGGATGCTTGTAGATGCTTGCAGGTTTTACTTCATATCAAGTCTTCTTATTTTTACTCAATATGGGGGTTGGGATAATCGGATTTGAGTAGCATGCCGTGTCGCCGGATCCTCGATCCTGGTGGTGATTTCAAAAAAATATTCAATCATCTTCACAATCCTATATACTGAAAGATAAATAATGTATCCTATAACTTCAACAAAGATAGTGTTACGCTCGTCACTAGGTATGCTTCAACTATTACGAATTCACCTTAGTCGAATAACGAGAACAAAATAATGAACCAGCGTCCAGATAGGCTACGGTGATCCCTTGATCAAAATGAATAAGCGAGAAGTCTTGATATAGTGTAGAAATTGTATTCTACAATCACCCAGCCAGCGCTCAATGAATCCAAGCACTCAAATTGCGTTTATTTACACTCTATAGAGACGTCCTTGGGACAGTGTCACAAAAATAGCACACTAAAATGACACAGTAACCAATCACAGCCAAGAATTCTCCTGGTGGGAAATGTTATCTCAAGGTCAACTGATCGGTGCATGAAAAAATCCAAAATAAAGATATTTATCAAGTGAGTTCTGGGGATCTAACATCCCCAACAGAGAGAAATGATAAGAATGAACAATAATCAAACAAAACTGTAAAGGAAGACCCATGACAGACTAGATTGAAGAATACTTGCCAGAAGAGGCCTATGCTCCATTGGGGGTAACAGGCGAAAGTAAGTAAGTAACTATTAACAAATCATGTTAAAATCAGTCTTGATTACTTTAAATTTAAGAATGTATGACACACTTATTGTCTTGTTTTAAAAAATGTACTACTCTATTTATAGCAACAGATTAATAGAATTTCTGTTTTCATCATTTAAGATATCACTACTAGGATATAAGTTATCAGAAATAGTTCTAATCATAACTGGATAACTATGGTTTTTACAATGAATCTGTTTCTTTAATTGTGTTTAAAACAATGATGAGTTAAGAATGTGAAAGTACAACATTCAGACGGTTTTGTCAAAACAAGAGGTTCTACCTGTCATTCTTGACGATGATGATGGCTGAATCGTTGTAGTCTCCACAATTTACGCAAGAAAAGAGTTATTTTCTTCAGTTTGTCATCTTTGCAAACAAAACTAATAACCATCAATTTATTTCGTCAGTTTCTTTAATTTTAATTACCTTCATGTCGGGGACGTTAGATCTCTAGAACTCACATAGAAAAGGGCTTAATTTTGTGATTCGCGCCAAGAGATGTTAAGTTCACCTTTAGCTTACATTTTCCACTAGAAAATTCTTGACTGTCATTGGTTGACGAATTTTTTTAGTACGCTATTTTGTAGCTCTCCCAGCGGTGTTTCTATCAATGCATAAATAACCTTGATTTGTGTGCTTAGACAGCTCGCATTTTCTAGGTGCTTGTAGAATACGCTTTCTACGCATTATCAAGTCTTCTTAATCTAGTTAGCAGGGCCTGGGACAAACGGATGAGAATAGCCTATCGTGTCAATGTATCGTTTGTTGGTATTCGTCTCGTTTACCGAGTAAGGTGAACTCGTAATAGCATTATTCAAGTGTTACGCCTGCACGTAAACACGTCATTTTGATATGCTTGAACTATTACGAGTTTACCTAGTCGGAAAACGAGGGCGAGGATCGAGGATCCGGCGACACGACATGCTACTCAAATCCGATTATCCCAACCCCCATATTGAGTGAAAGAAGACAAGACTTGAAATGAAGTAGAACACGTATTCTACAACATCCAGAAAGTACGAGCTTCGATTCCAGAAAAGAATCAGGATCCCGCACTAGGGATCCAGGACCTGGTCCTGGTCGTGCTCATAAAACGTGACAGATAATGCGTATTTATACATTTTGGTCTAATAGGAAACAGAATCAAAGCCTGTGACATTGACAGTTAAGGCGACCAATGGGAAAAAACATTTGAAGTGACATTGATAGTCAGGACAACCAATAAGAAACAACATTGGAGCACGTGACAATGATATCTAGGACGACCATAAAATTGACCAGTAGGAATTAACCAATAGGATTTCACCAATAATTCTCTTAGGATATTGCATGAATATCCTAACATCAAGCATATCACTTCACTTTTTTCATTGATTAGAAAGAGTAGTAATAATAGTATCCATAGAGAAAGTGTAACTTACCTCCACTATCGATTGGTGTGATAAGAAGATTCTTTGAAGTTTTCATAGTTCGTATTTTATCAACTGAGTTATCTTGAATACAAATTGAAAATGTTTGATCAGTAAATAAATAAATATCATGAAATTATGTCGATAGTATTTGCTATAGTTCTCTTATTATTACAACCCAACTATTCCTTGATGCTTAGTATTCTCGGATACCGATTTCACTCGAGACGTTCTCTCCCAAAATCAGAACACGGTTGAACAGGAAAAAATAGATTGTATTTCAACAACAAGGTTAGATGGAAGTCACAAGATCCAAAGGAAAAAGGCGTTAGTGTATTCATAGTTTTCTTACATGAGAAGATTCTAGAATGTTCCCTCAGTATTGGCTAGCGATGATTGGATACGAAAGAGCTAATCAGCGTGCAACAACTCAGTCATGCTTTATTTAATCCAGTCTAAACCCCCCTAACAGTATTCCATAATAATAATAACAAAAGGTTTACATGAATAGAAGAAATAAAAAACGTGCTCATAAAAATCATGAATACAACATTGATTCGGTTCCTTTATAAGGTTTCATTGAAATGCTGTGCTTACTACTAGTCACTAGCTTCGTCGGGCAAATTCTCAGAGTTCTAATGAGAATCTATGACTAGTGGAGTTCAACCCATTTGGGTGTGGGTAGTTACCTACCGAAGACAATGTGTGAGGTTACTTTGGGTTGATCAAACTTAGACAATTACACTGTTGGATGCCTGCTCAGTGGTCTATAGGTTAGGCACGTTCAGGCGCGAGATCTAATGTCCTCGGTCGCATTCCCGCCAGCGCAAATCGTGGACGCGCACTGTCATTACTTACTTACTTATGCCTGTTACTCCCAAGGAAGCATTGTCCGCCCACCAGTTTTCTCCAAACAACTCTGACCTGGGCTTCCCTTTCTAGTTCTATCAAGCTTTTGTTCATTCTTCTCATGTATTTCTGTATATTTCGGCATTATGTGTTCCTTGGCCTTCCTCTTTTCCTTCGACCTTGAGGGTTCCATGTGAGGGCTTGTCTTGTGACGCAGTTAGGTGCTTTTCGTAGTGTGTGTCCTATCCACTTCCACCGCTTCTTCCTGATTTCCTCCTCCACTGGAATCTGGTTTGTTCTCTCCCATAGTAAGTTGTTGCTGATGGTGTCTGGCCAACGAATACGAAGTATTTTGTGTAGACAACTGTTAATAAACACTTGTATCTTCTGGATGATGGCCTTCGTAGTTCTCCATGTTTCCGCTCCATACAATAGAACTGTCTTGACATTTGTATTGAAAATCCTGATTTTGGTGTTGATTGATGTTTGTTTGGAGTTCCAGATACTTTTCAGTTGTAGAAATTCAGTCCTTTCTTTGTCGATCCGCGCCTTTACAGCTGCATCGGATCCACCTTGGTTGTCGATGATGCTGCCCAGATATGTAAAGGTGTTAACGTCCTCCAAGGCATCTCCATCAAGAGTGATTTGGTTGTCGCATGCTGTGTTGTATCGTAGAATCTTACTTTTCCCTTTATGTATGTTGAGACCTACTGCTGCAGAGGCTGCTGCTACACTGGTCGTCTTCTCTTGCATTTGTTGTTGCGTGTACGATAGAAGAGCCAGGTCATCTGCGAAGTCCAGATCGTCCAGCTGCGTCCTAGCTGTCCACTGAATACCGTGGTTCCCTCCATATGCTGACGCCTTCATAATGCAGTCAAAAGATCACCAGGAGAAAGTGAAAAAAAAAAAAAAAAAAAAAAAACCTGACACCGGTCTTCGCCTCAAACGATTCTGTCAGCTCTCCGTCAAAAAAAAAAATGCAGTTGAATCCATCATAAGAATTCCGTATGATGTTGAAAAAAAAATGAAAAAAAATGTAGTGTCGAAGAAGCTTCCATAGTCTTTTCCTGTCCACGCTATCGAATGCCTTCTCGTAGTCGATGAAGTTGATGTAGAGTGGTGAGTTCCATTCAATTGATTGTTCCACAATGATCCGTAATGTTACAATTTAGTCGGTACACGATCGATCCTTACGAAATCCATTTTGTTGGTCTGAAAGTTGGGCGTCTACGAAGTCCTTCATTCTGTTTAACAATACCCTGTTAAAGACTTTGGCTGTTATTGAGAGAAGAGTGATGCCTCTGTAGTTCTCACACTTGCTGAGATCGTCTTTCTTAGGTATTTCGATCAAATATCCTTCTTTTCAATCTGTTGGTATTTGTTCCTCGTCCCAAATCTTCTTGAAGAGGATGTGAAATATTTTCGCGGTTGCTTCCACATCTGCTTTCAGTGCCTCGGCAGGAACGTTGTCTGGTCTCGCTGCTTTACCACGCTTGATTTGTCTGATGGCCATGCTGATCTCTTCAGTTGTAGGCGCGCCAACATCGAGTTGAAAGGTCCGTATATGCTGCTTTGATGTGGTGTGGGCTCAGTGGAGCAGTTTAATTCAAGAGTTTTTCAAGGTCCTCGGCACACCTGTTTCGCTGTTCCTCAATGTTGCTGATTACTTTGTCTTCCTTGCTTTTCACTGGTCGTTCTGGTTTACGACAGTTTCCAACGAGCTTCTTTGTCGTGTCGCACTATCATTGATGGACCCTATAATAGAACTTCATGGCCGTCCAGTACTTCCACGTTTCTAATGACGGTTTAACAATGATCGATTCATGATTTCAATGAAACACAACACTCTACACAACTGTATGATGAAAATCCTACATAACAGTTTTTTTAACGATTATTTTTCTTGACATTTGAACAGTATAAAATGAACAATGAAATAAAATGATATTATTTCAGTTTTCTTTTCCATTCAAATCACCTATTTCAATATTTTCTGTGTGATGATTATTTTCACTTTGATGATCCGATTGTTCGTCATCAGTAGAATTATTATCTAGAGATGAAGAGAAAAATTCATAGGAAAGAAAGTAAGTTTGAATTTTTTTTCGCGTTAGTTAATGTGACGCATTGCAATCGATCAATCTAAGTTGACAAATGTTCATCTTGAGTAGATTTTCCTAATGTCGAAATAAAGTCATACACGTTTGGATCTATCAGGTAAAGTTTTGATAGTAGTAGTAGCTAAGTGGTGGAGTCAAGGACTAACTTTCATCCAGTTGTACAAATCAAACAGTAGCTATTTGCACAGGAGTTATTATCAATACTGTAGTGCAAGTATATCCACCAACTGGCTAATCCAAAACAATACAAAATACATTTCCTGGATTCTACTATGCGCAACTTAAATTACTTACTTACTGACTAACTTACTCCTGTGACGCGTAATGAACCACTGGTCATTGACCAGCGAATTACTTTTTCTGGTTGGTTTTGTGGTGGTGTTTGGTTCTCTGAGTTGGATGTTTTGGTTGTAGAGCTTTCATTGTTCTTCTGCTGATGATATTGTTCAGAAGAACAATGAAAGCTCTACAACCAAAACATCCAACTCAGAGAACCAAACACCACCACAATCATCCACCTGAGCTACAAATCTTCTCCACTATGATTAGCTTTTTTTTTACTGAATGGGATTTCTACAGGATGGAATCGCTAACCCTATGCCCAATCCTCCTCCTGTTATACGGTCTCGCGACCGTCAGTAACCTCAAAAATAAGCTCCAGGTGGAGTTTTGGACTTGAATGATCTATAGTTATCTAAAGCGCATACATACATAAACCTCTAATATAGTCACGTTTTGTGTAGTCAACCAGTTAGTAACGAGAAAATCACATTAAACGTGTTCGCATTTCCACCTGTATATTGTAGTGTTTAACATCACGATAGATTGTGATTTTTATACCAGAAACAAACTGATTCATACAAACGTTAGATAGGGACATTTATTTGATCATTTGTAACTTCACCTGGAGCCCTTCTACGGTCACTGCAGGTTCCAAGACCAGATAAAGGAGGAGTGTTGGGCATGGGTTTAGCGACCTTATCCAGTAGAAATCCAGCTCACTAAAATTACGCTAACCAGGCAAAATAATTCTCTGGTGGGCGGCCAATGCTCCATTGCTCGTGACAGGCGTAAGTAAGTAAGTAACACTTTTATGGTAGATAGATTACTCGTTGGTACAGATTATCTATTATTTCATTGCGGGGTTGCTGTGACGATTATTAGGTTGTATTGAAACCATGAATTGATCAATGTTAGACCACCATTAGAAACCTGGAAGCACTGACAGACGGCCGTTTCGTCCTGGTATGGGACTCCTCAGCAGTGCGCATCCACGACCCCTGCACCCCGCAGGGTTCGAACCCGGGACCTTCGGTATTGTGCGCGAACGCCCTAACCGTTAGACCACTGAGCCGATATCTAACGGTGTTAATGTCTAACTTGATCAAATTCACGGAGTTGCGCAACCTCATACACTGTATACATCCGAACAGGTTTGAACTTCACTGGTCACGACTTCCCACTAGAACTCGGAGAAGATTCCTCGCCAAGCTAGTCACCAGTGAGTACATGTAATTGCATTGCATTATTTACTCTTTGACTAAAACATTCTCTAATTTTCTAGGTTGTTGTGATTTACTAATACAAGCTTTATGATTAGTATTTCTAATGTTCTGATTGGTAGATTGAATAAGGTCGAATTTATCACTTGACTGCTATCGATCATAGTCAAGGTCAGTTTAATTCACACACTGACTCTCGCGTTTATATTCACAGCAATAAATGAATGAGTAACATAGAAAATGAATTTACCGGTGATAGTTAAAAGTGACAATAACTTGTTTCTGCTTGTTTCATTCTGATCCGAATTAGTAGTACCATTGTGATTATCACTAGTTAATTGATTGAAAATGGAATCATGATTTGAATTAGCTTTCAGAAAAGTTATTTCTTCATTGGTTGCAATTGATTCAATCTTTGAGAGAGAAATTTCAGCAATATTAATCATCATAAATAATGAAACATGAAATCAATCAATAATGAACGTTGAAATATACCGAATTTTTTTATACATCCTACTTTCTGATCACATGACTTACTAAGTATAGATTGGTGCGGTTGATTTTAAGTGATATTTTGTATGAGGGTCTGATGATACTTAGCTGAGGTCAACAGAGAACTAGATCGAGGCATAATTTAGAACCTATGAACTGGTAGTTGAAAGTTGAATGCTTCAACTACCAAGCCATCTACCCACACTATCCCTTCGATTTCTGTACTAAGATTGATAACAGTTAGTTGCTTCTCACCATGGAGTGGTATCAACTGGGTAATAGTTAATACCTATGTTTAGTTTAGCTATGTTTATGGTCATTTTCAGTTGGCTTTAGGACTGAAAAATTTTATGCACGTAGAAAGAGTTTGATTTATCAGTAAAGAATCTATCAATCTACATTTTAATCAATATAGTAAAGTGTACAAAACGTGGTGATTTATTTTGAGTTTATTTTCTTTGTCTACTTAATTATGTAATAAGTAAGTAGTTAATTTCGTGATAATTTATCACCGGATTGGTAAGCAGTGTGACGTTAATTTGCTAATCAAATAGCATATATGTGGCCACTGGTTCAAATGATCAAGAATCACATGTACAATGGTTTTGATGTTAGTTACTTTAATAAAATTAGCATCAGTTCCGACATTTAAATTTCCTACTAGTAAAACTCACGAAGAAGCCAAGACCAGAAAGTATAATATTTGTAATCTTTAGACATCATTTTCTTGTGATTCCCAATTTATTCTAATCTCGTCATGAATTTCAATCTCCAGGCACTTTTCTTTCAAGAACTCCTGAGCGATGCTACGCTACGTACTACTTGTGAAGCTACCTTGTAAGTTGTACCCACCACACAATTATGCACCAAGCAGCTAAACATATGTATAATCTTAAAGCAACTGGTGTCTCCTATTAGATTAGATTTCAATCCGAACACAGAGTAGTTGCAATCACGATAGCTCAAAGCTATGATTTCTAATGGCGACAGTAGATGTTGAACATTTTACTGAAGAGGAGTATCAACTAACGGAAAATTTAGATGGAATAGGATTATTACCTGGAAATTCAGTTCAGTTAAATAAATGACAACTATTGGTTCTTTTCATTCTGTTTTGAAGTTTTTTAGGGTATGTATGACCTTGCCAGTAAATTGACAGATAACGTTATGAATATTTATCTAAGACATATTAGTATTACATATAATTAAAACCGCCAAAAAACATTTTAAAACTGACGTACATGCATACATACAACTTTATGGAAATGCATGACTTTCAAAAGTCTTCAACAGGGTATTGTTAAACAGAATGAAGGACTTCGTAGACGCCCAACTTTGAGATCAACAGGCTGGATTTCGTAAGGATCGATCGTGTACTGACCAAACTGCTACATTACGGATCATTTCGGAACAATCAGTTGAATGGAATTCATCACTCTACATCAACGTCATTGACTACGAGAAAGCATTCGGTAGCGTGTACAGGAAAATACCATAGAGGCTTCTTCGACACTACGGCGTGTCTAAGAAAACTAGTTAACATCATACGGAATTCTTATGATGGAATCACCTGCAACAGCGTACACGATGGACAGCTAACAGACTCTTTCGAGGTGAAGACCAGTGTCAGGCAAGGTTGCTTACTCTCACCCTTTCTCTTTCTACTGGTATCGATCGACTGGATTATGAGGACGTGGACATCTGGAGGGAAGCACGGTATCAACTGGACAGTTAGGACGTAGCTGGACGATCCTGGACTTCGCAGATGATCATGGCTCTTCTATCGCACACGCAACAACAAATGCAAGAGAAGACGAACAGTGTAGCAGCTAGCCTCTGCAGCAATAGGTCTCAACATACATAAAGGAAAAAAACGAAAAATTCTCCAATGCCAACATAACATGCACCAAGCAAATCACTCTTGATGGAGATGCCTTGGAGGACGTTAACATCTTTACATATTCGGGCAGCATAATCGACAACCAAGGTAGATCCGACTGCAGACGTGAGGGTGGGGATTGGCAAAGCAAGAGCTGCATTTCTACAATTGAAAAATATCTGGAACTCCAAACAACTTTCAACCAAAACCAAAATCAGGATTTTCAATACAAATGTGAAGACAGTTCTACTGTATGGAGCGGAAACTTGGAGAACTATCAAAGCCATCATCCAGAAGATACAAGTGTTTATTAACAGTTGTCTACACAAAATACTTCATATTCGTTGGCCAGACACCATCAGCAACAACGTAATGTGGGAGAGAACAAACCAGATTCCTGTGGAGGAGGAAATCAGGAAGAAGCGGTGGAAGTGGATAGGACACACACTACGAAAATCACCGAACTGCATCACAAGACAAGACCTCACTTGAAACCCTCAAGGTGAAAGGAAAAGAGGAAGGCGAATGAACACATTACGCCGAGAAATAGAGAAAGATATAAGAGTAATGAACAAACATTGGATAGAACTGGAGAGGGAAGTTCAGGGCAGAGTTGTTTGGAGAAAACTGGTGGGCGGCCTATGCTCCATTGGGGGTAACAGGCGTAAGTAAAGTAAAGTAAGTATGACTTTCAAATGTTTAACATTCTTCGACCAGCACTGGTTCACATACAAAAGATCATTTATTATGCTATATAATAATTATTTGTTTTTATAACTAAACATCAAATTGAAATCATTACCTTGGTTTCTTCAAAGCACTCGCCTGCATTTGTTTCATTTTTATCAACGTTATTCTCTTCTTCTTCTTCTTCATTAGTAACATTATTCTCGTGAACATTTGTTTCTGTGTTATACTGATCAGTTGGAATATGTACTTCAACATTATCAGTTTTCATTAGATCTATCCCCTGTGAGCATAATTCTTCAGAGACAGTTGTGTTCAATGTTCCAGAATCTGTTCCAAGGTGAGATTCATCTTCTGTTGTACTGGATGGTAATGATGTAGTTGAATTCTCCGCGTCATGATTTGTTTCATCTTCATGTTCTTCTTGACTTGAATTACTTTTATTTTCTACAACATTTCCATATAACCAGTCAACATCTTCCAATGCAACATTGATATCATCCGTTGGTAAACCAGCTTCTTCAGCTTGTTTACGTAATTCAGTTTCACGACGTGTTGCTTCAATGATTTTACGTCGATTGGATAACCCTAAAGATAAAATTAAACTGTTACGCTTGCACGTGAACATGTCATTTTGATATACTTGAACTATTACGAGTTTAATTTAGTCGAGGATCCGGCGACACGACATGCTACTCAAATCGGAGTGTCTCAACCCTATTTATTAAAAGAAGAAGACTTGATATGAAGTAGAACATGTATTCTACAAGCATCCAGAGAGTACGAGGTCTGAGTCCATAAGAGAATCAGGATCCCGGACTAGGGATCCGCATCCGGGACCGGGTCATAAAACGTTACAGATAATGCATATTTATACAGTTAGGTTGAATAAGAAACAACATTAAAGTCTTTGACATTGTGTTGGAGATGTTAGATCCCCAGAACTCGCTTGATAAATGCCTTATTTCGCATTTCACGCTTGCGAGCATGGGCTGATCAATCGACTTTGAGATTTCATCTCCCACTGGCTGCTGTGTTATTTCTGTATGCTATTTTTGTGACTCTCCTAAAGACGTTTCTATGATGTATAAATAAACGAGAGTTGTGTGCTTAATTGTATTGTGATTGCTGGGTGTTTGTAGAATATACTTTCTACTCTTACCAAAACTTCTGTTTTACAGTTTGGGATTCAAGGTAGCTTACCTGGACGCTGGTTCATTGTCTCGTTCGCGTTTATCGACTAAGGTGAACTCGTAATAGCTTCAAGCGTATCAAGTGACGAACATAACACATTGACAGTGAAGGCGACCAATAGGAAACAGCATTGGAGCACGTGACATTGATAGTCAGGACAACCATAACATTGACCAATAGAATTAACACTTACAAAATGATTCTTAATAGGATATTTGGTGAATATCTTAACACAAACAAACATTCCTTATTGCATAGACCATCTATTATTATTATTATTATTATTATTATTATTATTATTATTGTTGATAAGAGAATGTCATGTAAAGTAGAACAAGAACACCAAACTTACATTTCACACTATCAGTGATCTTTTTTTGTTCTGCATCAATCCACTGTTGTCGAACTTCACGTTCTTTTTCAATGCCTTCGGCATAACTTGAATGAACAAACAAAAAAAGATTGTTAATTTTTGAATACATTTGAAATCATCAGTCGATCATTGTTAGACCACCATTAGAAACCTGAAAGCACTGGACGGCCGTTTCGTCCTGGTATGGGACTCATCAGCAGTGCGCATCTACGACTCCTGCACCTCGCAGGATTCGAACCCGGGACCTTCGGTATTGTGCGCGAACGCCTAACCATCGGACCACTGGGCCGGCATCCGATAGTATTAATGTGTAACTCTGATTGATCTAGGGATTTTGCGCGACCTCACCCATTTGTCTTTGGTAGTTACTGCCTACACCCGACAGGGTTAAACTCCATTGGTCACGTCTTCAAACTCTGCCCGAAAAGTTTTGAATAATAATAAGAAAATGAAACTTACAATGCTTCAGCACATGCTCTGTCCACTGGAAACACAGGACGGTCATCTAGATAAGTCAAGTTTTTCTGAAATCAGGGAAAATAATACGATTAAAGTTAATATAAATATTGGATCATAGATATATATTGAGAGGATGGATTGATATCCAACTATTCATGTCCATCTGTTATGAAATACATAATGCCCCTTGATGAGCAATAATACACAGTCAGTCAGTCAGCTGCAATGTAGAACTTGGTACACACCCTACGTACGTACGTCAGTCCAAGTCGCCAAACCATCGTGGTAGAAATAGTAGCAGTATTAGCAAAAGGTCTACTCCTGAAAATTCAGACGAGGATTAGGTTAGATCTAGCAGCATGCCTATGATAAAATTAAACAAGAATGGAGAGAGTGAACATCCCCGATGGACGCCATTTGAAGTAAAGAATTCCGGTGGCAGTTCGCCATAAGCTCTCACTCGACCAGTAGTGTTCGAGTAGAGAGCTTGCATAAGGTTAATGTACTTCTTTGGTACACCTTTCAATGACAGACACTGCCACAGAACCTCACGATCAACAGAGTCAAATGCCGCCCTAAGGTCCAGGACGACAACTATTGTCGGACGCCAAAATGTGTATCTGTGTTCCAGGACCTGTCGTAGAGTGAAAATGTGGTCTATACAGTCACGTTCAGGTCTGAAATCAGCCTGTTTTTCTATAGTCTCCTCTTCACGAGCTCTAGTTAGGCGTCTAAGGTTAACTGAGGCTAATAACTTAGAAACTATATTAGTTAGACTGATTCCCTTGTGACTGTCACAAGAAGACTTTTGTCCTTTCATATAAATTGGGACAGTCAGCGATTGAGACAGGTCAGTACACAAAATCAACTTGCAATAATACGCGACCAAGTAATGTGACTAAAGTTTCAATTTTAACAAGCATACAACATCTTGACACGTAATTTAACCTTTGATTTCTTAGCTAAATTTCTCCAGGAGTTGCAACATTGTTCATTTACTTAAGTTTCACTATGGATGTCCTTTTTATAACTTGTTTTGTTACTCTCTCAGACTTTAGCTACTTTTCAAATTGCTTAGACAAATTTTGCATGATGATAATCAAGGAGTTACATATTCTGTGGTTAAACTGTTCACTGTTCAATTTCTAGTTCTTTAAAACACGGTGTTTTTATTTTTACCAAATAACATATTGATTGTCCTTGTAGTTCGTCGCTTATGGTCACTATACTTATACTACAGAACTACGCACTGACAATTAAAACAATATGAAATGAAATATGTAAATTGAAAAACATATTAAGAAATCGATTAGTTCGAAAAAAAGATAAATGAATCCAAGCGCTCAAATTGCGTTCATTTATACATCATAGAAACGTCCTTGGGACAGTCACAAAAATAACACACTAAAATAACACAGTAACCAATCACGGCAAAGGATTTTCCTGGTGGGAAATGTGATCTCAAGGTCAACTGATCGGTGCATGAAATAAATCCAAAATAAAGATATTTATCAAGCGAGTTCTGGGGATCTAACATCCCCAACACAACTCTAAACTTAATACTTGTCAAATAATCAACCTGTTTGTTTCTGTTTGAATTCAAGCGAACAATAATGATGCCACCAAATTGTCAGTAAAAGTTTCACAATTCAGTCATTCCTTCCAGAGCACACAATGATGCCATAAAAATCCGTAGATCAATCAGAGTTAGACATTAACACCGTTGGATGCCGGCCCAGTGGTCCGATGGTTAGGCGTTCGCCTACAATGCCGAAGGTCCTGGGTTCGAATCCTGCGAGGTGCAGGAGTCGTGGATGCGCACTGCTGATGAGTCCCATACGAGGACTGTTGTAATGCTTGCTTATATATTTTCTATCCCAAGAATCAAAAACACGTATGAACAGGAAAAGATTATATTCCAAATAGCAAGGTTAATTGGAAATAAGAAGCCAATGGTGATGGCGAAGGCGAAAGCAAAATAGATACGTTAGTTTCTTTATAGCATTTACATGAGAAGCTTCTGGATAGAAATTCACGTGATCGACTGGATTAGATTTAACCAATCAGCACGCAGCTAACAATACGAGAATCTTCTGCCCTGTTCTCCAAGATTCGATCGGGCGCTGATTGGATAGGAAATTAGCCAATCAGCGCGCAGCAACGTAGTCATGCTTTAATTCCATTTATGTCCCCCTAAAATGACATTAACACCGTTGGATGCCGGCCCAGTGGTCCGATGGTTAGGCGTTCGCCTACAATGCCGAAGGTCCCCGGTCTTAATCCTGCGAGGTACGGGAGTCGTGGATGCGCACTGCTGACGAGTCCCACACCATGACGAAACGGCCGTCTTTCAGTGCTTTTAGGTTTCTAATGGCGGTCTAAAAATGATTGATTGATGATTTCAAATGTATAAAAATATGTATTTGTAAAAGTTTTTTTGAAACAACTCATGTAATTTTTTAGAAAGAATTCTCACCTACAATCTCCATTAGCACAATGATTAATTAATTGGACAGATCGCGTTACGTATGTTATCTCATTAGAAAAACTGCATCAATGTTTTTAAGACTTACACATTGTTGAATAACAAATTTACGATAATTCTTCACTTCTCTAATGAATGGATTTCCTTGATTGTATAAAACTCGCTGCAAATGTATTAGAGTAACAAATACACAAGAGTTATCATTCTTTTTTTTAAAAAAACACAGATTTCTGTTCATTAAAAAATAAAATGTTTATTAATTTCAGGAAAAAAAATTCATGACCGGATTCGATCGAGAAAGTTGCGCTAAGTATCCATAAGTCGAGGTGGCTTGCTTGACATGAAATCTACTACTGGTCTGATGGTACTCGACTAGCTCTAGATAGTTAGAAGGATACTATGATTGATTTGGTTTTCAACTTAGATTGGGACTTGTCGATATTGTAGTTAGTACTGATAATATTAACTTACACTGATTGTTATTGCAAGTCGTTGTCATAGGCTGCACTCAGCTGTAGTTCGTATATGCACAATTTTTCGGATTATTATACCGGGATGAATTAACAGTCTTATCAAAAGTGCGCACTCATGATATTACCTACCTAGTTCTTACTATCTATGTAAAAAATTATTCTAAAGTAATAGGTCCCCTTATGCTGAACATTATCTTGTCGAAAGTTTCAGTATTGAAACAGTATACTGCTCAAAGCACATAGCGTCAGTCAGTTAGTCAGTCAGCAATTTTTAATTCAAACTCCATAATGGTTGATGTAGTAGAAGTATTAGCCGTAATGGAAAAGATTAGGGTTGGAAGGTAAGAATTAGTTCATGGAGAATTTAGAAGATTAGAATTTAAGAGTGAACAAAGAACGGATGCACCTGCGCCATCGCAAACGATTTTGTTCAAAGTCACTAGCAATCTGTCCTGATTGTCTCACGGACCCCATCCAGGTAGTCTACACTTACTAACATGACTCAGTCCGGTTTTCAGTGACTTCATGGATTTGCGCAAAGTTTTGTTTTGGCCGCTCTCAGCTTCGAGGTTGTCAGTGGTTGAGCATACATAACACATGTCCCAACCACCTCAACTGATGAAGTTTCACTACTTCATCAATTGATCTACCATCCTTACCTAGTACCTGTTTTCTAACACCAGCATTGCTGTCTGAGGAAATACGAGCAGTGCCTTGAAGACACCTATGATCGAAAACTAGCAGCCTACGTATATCCTCTACTAGTGTAGTGAATGAGAACACAGGTGGGGGCAATCGGATTGTATTTAACGAAAATTACAGAGTTACTCAGTAAAATCGGAAAACCATATCGTAAATCGTTCATTTGCAAAATATCAGTTCATCATATCGAACTGGACTGTTCCTGTTGCAAAACATCAATCCATTGTCACTATTCACGCGTTTCATACAAATTCCATTGTGTTCTAACTCTTCCTTTCTTGATCTTCCCCCATCTTCTGCTGCCAGACATCACGTTGACACTCACGTCATATACTACTTATAAGTAGCTCGCACCACACTAGTACTAGCCATGTTTCCAACTCATAGTGTGCGACGGAGTGTGGGAAAATAAGAATCTACCAACACTCAATTTTGCATGGAATCCTACTTCTAAAAAAAGTAATATCTGATTATAATAAGATAGGAAAGTATCTTATATCGTTTATGTTTTGATTGAAACAATAATTCGACCAACCAGTTATCAATTATAACTTAGTATGACACGTTATATGTGTATAACGCTTATATTGAAATGAGTAAGTAGTATATTCTCATGAAATATAAATCAAAATAACTACGGATTTCGATTAACAGAAAAATAAAAATAAAAACAATCATATCATCATTATTATTCTGTGAATAATTTAAACAAAACAAGATCAATATTCAATGTGCGCATACAGTTTGTGTGAGTATGATCAATATTCAATTTTACATAATTTTGATTTCAAAACTTACTAAACTTGGCATCTTAGCAAACACTTCTTCAACAACATTAGGATCTTCAATAAAATTATGTTGAATATCAAGAACTGATAATTTTTCACAATGAATCAAATGTATTAAATCTTCAATTTTTGTTAGTTTATTGTGTGAAATGATTAATTTTGTGAAATTCGGTAGCATATCTATTAAAAAGTAGATAGAAATAAATATATTTTTTTTAAAAATAAAAGGGAGTCAAAATGTGTGAAAATAAATCAGAAAGGAGAAAACTATCAAATTCATTGATCGATGAAAAACTGTTGTGTCGAAAGTGTGATTAGATTGATAGGTATCATTTGACAATGAATAATTTAAGCGGAGATCATGGATATGCAAGTGTGTTGTACTAGAATCTATTTCTGACTATCTATAACATGCCTTAGTTTTGAGTGATACGTAGCTGCTACCGTGACGTGGTGGTCGGGCTTGCCTATCGTCGTGACCCAACCGAGCTATACTGGCTGGAACATATGTTCCTGAAGGTTCTACCATGCCAGGCAGGTGATGAGACTAAACACAGCTACTCAAGGTCTGAGGGCGAAGTCGTACTACTGACTGTGATGGAGAGGTGTGACAGCAGTAAGGTGTTTCCCTCGGACAACTAGCATCTGCAGCAATGCTGCCTTCTCACAAGGAAGGAAGGGTTAGAAAAGGTCGACCCTAAAAATGTCACACCTCACCTTACTTCACGGATTTCCGTCTCCCGCGGTAAGGGCTGCCCAATAAAGGCTTTAAAAAGAGTGGAGCTAATACTCAAAAAACCTTTCATCAAGCAGTTGTTCCCTGGGCTATGCGGTCACGCACCCAGGTCTCTAAGACCAACACTAATCTATCTTCCTTTTCAGGTCCCTCAATAAACAACCTTCCACGATGTGAGCAGCCGGGAAGTGACAACTGCCCTCATACCTGTAACAGCACACGAGACCGAATCGGTCAAAATCAAATCCTTCTTACACCCCTAATATCTCTCTTATCTCTACAACTAACTCTAGTCGCATTCCTTCAGCTCACTGCACAGCTAATGCAAACGATGCGAATTCACAAAACGTCGTTCCTGGTTTCTTTAAATCCCGTTCTAAACTACATGTTAGAACATTTAATGTACCGTGGTATGGCAACCTGAACTGATGTACTTATGTACGAAGTTCTGCGTTGTAACTGTCTGTCTGATACGTCAAAAGACATCAGTTTGAGATTAATATCACTTATAAACTGTATGTTTGTCAGACTGTACAGTTCTACTACTTAATGTTTCTCTGGTTAGCGTTTTTTAGCACGTTAGTCTTTTACGTGCTTGTCACAAGAAAAGCCCTCAATCGGGACCCTCAAGGATAAAGGTAAAGAGGAAGGTCGAGAAATTGAGGCAGACATGAGAAGAATCAACAGGAACTGGACGGAATGGGAAAAGGAGGCCTAGGTCAGCGTAGGTTGGAGAATACTGGTCGGGGGGCCTATGCTCCAATGAGAGATACAAGCGTTAATAATTAAGTACTGTTATATAAGATACAAATGAAAGCGATAACTAAATCTTCCATTTTTTAAAACTCAGTAGTCCTAATCTAAAATTAAAATTTGACCTTGATGAATTGTCTATTTCTCATCCACCATACGTAGAATGTTGATGTTACTTATTGCAAAGTTCATCATATAAAAGCAACCCTGAAGCGATTAAACACGGAATAACGAATTCAATAAAGGATACGATTTCATGGAGGTTTTTGGGGATAAGAAAAGAAGTCAGTCAAATATATATTCATTAGCATTGCGAGGTTGTTTTGAATATTGTTAGGTTTTATTTGTAACCATGAATCGATCAATGTTAGAACACCATTAGAAACCTAGAATCACTGGACGGCCATTTCGTGCTGGTATGGTACTCCTCAGTGGCAGTGCTCATCCACGAATTCTGCACCCCGCAGGATTCGAACCCAGGACCTTCGGTATTGTAGGCAAAAGCCTAACCATCGGACCACTGAGCCGGTATCTAGCGGTGAGGGATCTCCGAGTTCTAGTGGGAGGATGTGACCAATGAAGTTCAACCTGTTCGGATGTAGACAGTGTCTACCGAAGACTGTGTATGAGGTTGCGCAACTCCGTGAATTGATCAAGTTAGATATGTTGATGTTACCAACTGCAAAGTTCATTATACAAAAGCAACCTTGAGGCGATTAAACACGAAATAATGAATTACATAAAGGATATGAATTCCGAGAGCTTTCATGGAGGCTTTTAGCAATAAGAAAAGAAATCAGTCAAGTCGATATTCATTAACACAAATGAAACGGGGCAAAGATTGATTTGTGTCAAAAATGAAGCTTTTATGTTCACATTTAGGTACATTTATTTAGATTCAATGCCTGGAGTAGTCAGTAATCGGTAGAGCATAGGTACATATGTATGTACCAGGCTAAGTTGGTCTACCACCTTATACAGTGAGGATATGATTCGAATAGACATAATGAAAATGTGTATATGAGTGGATAATTATGGAGATTTTTTGTCTAAAGCAAATTAAAGCGTGATTAATTATTATTCGTGACATGTAACGTGAAAATATCCTCTATTCTCACTGGCCATGTTTCACAATGGTACAGTAGAGAGGAGCGAATCGCTGCACAGTAAACTTGTTCTTTGATTAGCAGATGAATATCTCGCCCAAACCATGAGTGATGCAACTTGACAAAAGCCTTCTATATCTGTGCCGAGACTTCGTTAGACTCCAGGCTATCAGCCCCACTGAGGCTCCCGAAATAGGCTAAGCAGTCAGCACGCTCAATTACTTCACTCGTTATCACCAATCCAGGGGCTTACAAAAGTCAATCCTGAAGCAATAATTCGCAAATTTCGAGGGAGAACAGCATCTCGAACATGCTTGCATTGTTGCCTAATTGGGTCAGTAAACTCAGTATTTTGTCACTGTCTTCACCAAACAGAGCATTGTCATCGATATACTCTAAGTCAGCGAGTAAATCTCCTGGCAGAAAGTCAACTCCTGAAGAGTTAGACGACAAAAGTGTCGTTTCTAAAAGCATGTCAATCACGAAGTTGAATAAAGAATTGAGAAATCGGACAACCATGACGAACACCATTTGACCAGTAGTATTCGAGTAGATAGCCTGTATAAGGTTTATGTGCTTCTTTGGTACACCCCTTTGAACGCCACACACTACACTTAACTCATTAACTGTATAGACTGCTGGTAATTATATTTAATAAACTGTTTCCTAGTTTGTTCAGGAATCGTGTATACTGTGATCCAGGTTTTCATACAACCAGCCTGTAACAAAATCCCAATACTACAGTTCTATTATTATCATATATCGTGGAAATCACTAACGATGCTCATTCATCGCTAATATATATTTTAGTAGTATAGAATATTAAACTAAAAGAAAAACAATCTTTCGAAACTTACCAAGATTTTCAATTTTATCAATCATATTATGGCTTACATCTAATGTATCTAAATATTTCATATGATCTAAATTTTCAATGGAACGTATTAAATTTTTTGATAAATAAAGTGAACGCATTTCTGTTTGATTTTGTAAACCGTCAATTTTCAATATACCATTCACTTCTAAAAATAAACATTTTAAACCGGTATATTCTTCGAGATTTTCAATTTTTGAGAATCCTATTTTAAGAAAATACAAATTAAAAACAGTCTTTACTGATTAAATTTGTTAATAATTAAATACAGATAATAATAATAATAATAATAATAATAATAGCAGTTTTAAAAATGTTAAACAAGTGGATTTTGTGACAATGTTAGGATATTCATCCAATATCCAAAGAGAATTATTGGTCAAATCCTATTGGTCGATTTCTATTGGTCAAAATTATTGTCGTTTTAACTGTCAAAGTCAAATACTTCAATGTTGTCTCTTTATTGGTCATCCTAACTGTCAATGCCACAGAATTCGATGCTGTTTCCTATTCGACCAAAATGTATAAATACGCATTATCTGTAACATTTTATGACCACGACCAGGACCAGGGCTCGGTCCCGGATCCCTAGTCCGGGATCCTGATTCTCTTCTGGATTTGGACCTCGTACTTTTTGGATGCTTGTAGAATACAAGTTCTACTTCATATCATGTCTTCTTATTTTTTACTAAATATGTGGGTTGGGATAATCGGATTTGAGTAGCATGTCGTGTCGCTGGATCCTCGATCCTCTCTTTCGTTTTCCGACTAGGTAAACTCGTAATAGTTCAAGCATATCAAAATGACGTGTTTACGTGCAGGCGTAACAGACAAGTGTCATAAAAACTGAACATCCCAGGAATTCGATCATATTTTGGTAGGTTAATGAGCATTATTAAAGCTTATCCTATGTGCAGGATACTTCATTTGTTTTAATAAAGTTGAATAAGAACTTTTCGTCTTACCTCGTCATACTCATCAGGTGTATGTGCCTGCCTCCCAATATTACTGCTCACACAGCTATTGGAACCCGGTAGTTAAAATGTTCAATATACTATGTACTAATTCACTGAATACACATAGTAAATAACTGGTGCATTGGGTATGATTTTTATTTGTAATTTTTGTAATGGTGAGACTGTAATATAATATAGACGACCTTTGAGTGAGTACAACGTGACCCTAAAAACACTCGCCTACTTACTATCGGCTAAAACGGGTTACACACATCAGTATGAGTAATTAGAACTAGGATTAGGAAATTATAAGTTACGTTTTTACGAATTAGAATTGGGATTCTTCATCACGAACTGACACCAAACTATAATTTTTCACTGAGAGTTATGGGTATTGCTGTTTATGCAATGAAATTATCAATCAATCATTGTTAGACCACCATTAGAAACCTGGAAGCACTGGACGGCTGTTTCGTTTGACGTTCGAATCCTGAGAGAAGCGGGAGTCGTGAGTGTGCACCACTGATGAGTCCTCCACGTTTCTAATAGTTAAGTCATATGCATGAATAAATTCAGCGCCAAAATCTAAAACTCGTCACCATAACTCTGATTTGTTCGTCGATAAATTGTAGTTTCGCTGTTTGAATCCTCCCAATAGTAAAGTTAAGGTTTTTGTTTGATCTGTTCCTTTTGGCACATGTTCAATCAAAAAGAAAATTTATTGATTTTACTACTTATAAGTAGTGTATCATGAGTAGCTGTGTATGTAATCAAGAATTCGCATTCCGCCCGATTTAAGACATGAGATAATTTTCTGAGGATACGTAAATGTCTGACGAGATGGATTCATTAAAGTTCTTAATTTCAAAAAAGAGAGAATTTAAACTTTGACAAGCACTGGCCTATTCCACTTGACTTTTCATTCATTATTCAAAAGGATGTTAATTTGCAATGGAAAAAACTAAACAGTTTGTATTCTCTGGTAAGAAATTACAATGAATCAGGCACTGATGTTAAACAAATCGAATTACTGCTCTTCTAAGTGATCGGATTAAACAGTGTTTAACTAAAAACAGAAATCATGAGTTGACCAGTGCTAGACCACTACTAGAATTCTGAAAGCACTGGAAAGTCTCTTCGTTCTAGTATGGGATTCATCAGCAGTTCACATCCACCATCTCACACATGTTAATAGTATCCAGGATTTTTGGTCTCGTGGGCGAACGCTTAGCCTTTAAACAACTGGGCCAGGAACCGACGCTATTAACATCTAGCTATAATCATACCCAACCTTCATCCATTGTCTTTGGTGTATGACTGCCTAACACACGACACGAGTGAACTCCTGAAGAAGCCATTTACTAGTAAGCACATGATAATTTTCAGTATAAGATGTTTACGCGCAAGACCAACAAATGTCATGGGTTCGATTCCCGCGTGTGTGCGGTCGTTTATACTTACCACTAAAGGAGTGCCATACTAAGAAAAAATGGCCATCCAATGGTGATTTCAATCAGAATCCACTATCTTCATAACCCTTAACTGATAAAAACTGAAAATATCAATCAAAAGCTCTTAGTGTGATGTAAGAAAGTTCCCGAATCATAATAATCATCTATACGATATTCTTTCACACCGAAAATCATTTCAAATTCTACATAGAAATCAACAACAGAACAAAATTAACAGAATGTACTTATTCATCATGATTCATTGAACAGATTATTGATGATTAAATCTAATTTACCTTTATAATGTAAATAGAGAATATCATTCAATTGTGGTGTTTGATATAATTTATTCTTTGCACAAAGTTGTTTTAAAAATTTTTTAGTCATTCTAAACAAAAAAACAAATGATGATATACACAAAAGATTAGTTTTTAAAAGTAAAAATTGTTGTTAAGATGAAAGATTGTTCAAATAGTAGAGATGGAATAAAAATTGACGTAAATTGAAGAGTGTACTGCCTCTACATATAATATTCCAGTTCGCTTACATTTAATTTGGTTAAGCCTTTTCGATTAATTCTCATTTAACCAAGCCATTTGTGTATTGCAACAATTGATATGTACCATTCGTTCTTATTATTGTCTGGTTTGTATGAGGACTCACATGACGTGTCCCACTTGTCATTTGACCTTGTCAACCATTCGTCGCTTTTATTCATGTGTGTGTGCATGTCTATCTCGTTGGTCATATGTCTGTCTTATATTTGTCTGACTATATATTCTTAGTCACGCTTTATCTCTAGGACTTGGATCCTTACTAGCCATTCTCCACATTGCTTCGTACGATCCGATTCAGTCGCTCATTCGCTCGCCAGTGCACTACAAATGGTGATCCCAACGTCAACAAAATCGGTCACCATAAGAGAACTACCAATCAAAACAAATCAATATCTAAAGTTATTATTGTTACTACAAGTGATTCAGTAGCTATCTGTAAGGTTATTTATCCAATATCTCAAGATAATTGTTTGTAAGTCTAATTCTACTGGTCAATTCCCATTCGTCGTCCGAACTGTCAATGTCGCACAATTCTGTTGTTGTTTCCTATTCTACCAAACTGTATACATACGTATTATCTGTAACGTTTTATGATCCGGACCCGAATCCTTACTTAGTCCAGGGTCCTTATCCTCTTTTGGACTCAGACCTCGTACTTTTTGGATGCTTGTAGAATCCGTGTTCTACTTCATATCAAGTCTTCTTCTTCTTTTACTCAATGGGGGTTTGGGACACTTGGATTAGAATAGCCTGTCGTGTCGCCGGATCCTCGATCCTCACTCTTGTTTACTGAGTCAGTTAAACTCGTAATAGTTCAAGTATATCAAATGAAGTGGTCACGAGCAATCATAACACTATCATGTAAATTGTAGGAGTTTTTTTAGTGGCTGGCGATCTGACTCTAATTGGAATGAATGGTCAAGTATGCGATGAAATAAATCCTCCTTTCGATTTCGTACAAAGACGAATCCCGTTTGTGTAACGGTGGTAATATGAAGCCAATGATGGATCGTTCAAGTAAATCAAAGTGTAGAAGGCGAATGAGTGTGATGAGGCTTGACTAAGTATTTATAGTCAAATGATAATTAGCTAGACATTCGATTAGTGAAGTAAGCATATACACACACACACACACTCAAATAAAAACAACCAAGGATATGCGCGGATAATTGACAAGGTCGAAAGATACGTGAACAATTCGAGAAGAATGAAGTAAAGAATGTGTTCAAAGGCTGCGACAAGCACTTTCGGCTCGCCTACAAGTTAAAACACTGAATCTGTTTAGGTCTGGTACTCAACGTTTGATGCACAACACTAGTGAGCTCAACCCACTGAAAAAAATTTGTTAATTGAAGTTAGGTAGCAACATTGTTAGATGCTGCCTCGGTGCTCTAGAGGTTAGGTGTTCATGCGCGAAACCGAAAGTCCTAGGTTCGATTCCCGCGTGTGGGGGTTGTGAGTCTCACATTAGGAAGAAATGGTCTTCCACTGCTTTCATGTTTCTAATGGTGGTCTAACACTGATTTATTCATGGTTTCAATGTAAAACAAGCACCTCCATTATACTGTTGCGGAAAAAAATCAAAAAATAGCATAATTGTTTGCTATAAATTAGCCGACGCTGATAGATGAATGTCCTTGTTCATTGTAGTGTATCCGTTGAATAGATTATCCTAACTTACTTACTTTCTTTTTTTACACATTTGAAATCATCAATCAATCATTGTTAGACCACCATTAGAAACCTGGAAGCACTGGACGGCCGTTTCGTCCTGGTATGGGACTCATCAGCAGTGCGCATCCACGACTCCTGCTCCTCGCAGGATTCGAACCCGGGACCTTTGGGATTGTAGGCGAACGCCTTACCATCGGACCACTGGACCGGCATCCAACGGTGTTAATGTCTAACTCTGATTGATCTAGGGATTTTGCGCGACCTCACCCATTTGTCTTTGGTAGTTACTGCCTACACCCGACAGGGTTGAACTCCATTGGTCACGTCTTCTCAACTAGAACTCCGAGAATTTCCTCACGAAGCTAGTCACTAGTGAGCACTGTTACGATATTTTGGGGCACAGTTTTGGAGGTTTGCGATTTTTTACACTTTCGCCTGTTACGCCCAAAATGGAGCATTGGCCGCCGACCACTATTCTCAAACCAACTCTGTCCTGGGCTTCCCTTTCCAGTTCTGTCCACTTTTTCTTCATTTTTCTCATAGCTGTCTCCATTTCTCGATCTAATGTGTTCTTTGGTCTTTCTCCTTCCACTTGTCCTTAAGAGTTTCAAGTGAGGTCTTGTCTTGTGACGCATTTGGACGCTTTTCGCAGTGTGTGTCCCATCCACTTCCACCGCTTCTTCCTGATTTCCTCCTCCACTTAAATCTGGTTTGTTCTCTCCCACATTAAGTTCTTGCTGATGGTATCTGGTCAACGAATCCGAAACATTTTCCGTACAGAATAGATTATCCACTTACAGACTAATTAAAACACAACATCAATTCGCCATCGTCAAACTGATTGAAAGTCCAATCAGTGTTCCTACAATATGTGATTTGCCAATCAACTCTAGAAACCATCACAGCTCAAATGAACAAATCACGTAAAAACAAATCATTTCACCAACTGACTATCATCAACTAACTGAAATATTCAATTCTAACTTTTTTCATTATTATTTTATTTAAAATACCTTGGTTCTTTTGAATTTTCTTCGCCAATTTCGCTTGACTTATTCGTTTGATCTCCAAAAGTTATTGTTGTTGTCTGCGCTGTTGTGTCATTTTGTTTTATAATACAATAACCAGGTGGATATGGTAAATTGTAGAAATCTGTGGTGATGAGTGGTGAATCACCTGACGCATTTATGGTTAATTGATCATTGAATTTGTTTAAATTATTCAAAGATTCGCTTAAATTATCATTGGATTCATTTGTAAGATTATTATTATTGTCATTATTATCAGTATTATCAGTATCATGACTATTATTATTATTATTATCAGTAGTATTTTGATCTAAGATGATGTTAGGTTGTTCATCTAGGCAATGAAAAATACAAAACAAAGAATGATTTACAATAAATTGAAGAATTTAAAATTTATGCTCTTGGGGTAGTAGTAGTAGTGTGGTGCGAGCTACTTATAAGTAGTATATGACGTGAGTGTCAACCTAATGTCTGGCAGCATAAGATGGGGTGAAGATCAAGAAAGGAAGAGTGGGAACACAATGGAATTTGTATGAAACGCATGAATAGTGACAATGGATTGATGTTTTGCAACAGGAACAGTCCAGTTCGATATGATGAACTGATATTTTGCAAATGAATGATTTACGATATGGTTTTCCAATTTTACTGAGTAACTCTGTAATTTTCGTAGTAGTAGTAGTTTAATGATGGAAATTACATAATTAGTATAGAACAAATGTGAATAGTGTTTTTAATTTGTACTTGTATATAATACAGATTGGTAATTAACTAGTTGCCAATATACGTCACTTATGGCTTAGGTGAGATATCCGTTTGCTAAATAAAGGACGAGTGTACCGCGCAGTGTTTCCCTCCGTTCTACTTTATGGCTGTGAAACATGGCCAGTGAGAGTACAAGATATTCGTGACTCTCGTGTATCGTCGTCCAATTAATGATGTTGTTAAGAAACAGGTTCTAGGTAAGGATGGCAGATCAATCGATAAAGTAGTGAAACTTCATCAGTTGATGCGTTTGGGACATGTGTTATGTATGCCCAACCACCGACTGCCTCGAAGAACTATATTTTGTGATGTAGGATTAGGTTGGAAGAAAGCTAGGGGCAGTCAAACCAAAACATGGCAGAAATCCATGAAATCACTGACAACTGGACTGAGCCATGTTGATAGGTATCGACTACCTGGTTGGGGTCCACGAGATGATAGTAATCGATGTCTCGAAACCGTCTGCAATGGCGCAGGTGCATTCATTTTTTGTGTTCTCTCAAATCGTAACCTTCTGAATTCCTCATCACATTTATCTCTTTCTTTTCAAGTTTCTTTCACTAGATTCTACTTCTTGAATAATATCTTCGAACGCTAATCTCTCTGATTACTGCTAATACCTTTTCTAGCCCTACTATTATGGGATTTCAGTTGAAAGTTACATCTCTTTGCTAATGTGGTATGGCAACTTGAACCAATGTACGCACGTACGGAGTTCTATGTTGCTGTTGACATGATTTTGTATTATCTAGAAGGCCTAGTAGTAAGCGTGAACCACTAAACCATAAATAGAAAAGCTTGAATATCTTAGGTTCAATTCTTAGTTAGATTGTTGTAAGTGAGCACTACGGGGAAGCTTTATACTACGACAAACACAGTTATTTGACAATGCTCATCTAAATACAAGTCCACAATTAAGTTATCCCCCTCATGTTAAAACATTAATACATGGATGAAGAAACATGTATACAAGTTAGAAATCCAAAAAATGGCCAAGTTTAAGGCACAAAAATATACCATTTCAAATTATACGCAACAAATATATAACCGCCAAAGTTAGAGTAAGTGAAATACAAACAGTAAATAAGAGATTTTTGTTTACGCGTTTACAATTTAGCAGTGATGCTTCCGGTGGTGCATTCAAAAGAGCATTCAACGTCGGAAAACTAAAAATAGTGTTTTCTACGCTACAACTGGTGACACCGAGGCTAAAACATGAATCTACTACAATGATCACATTCTTTCGCATCGATCAGTTTGATTGATTTTATAGGATAAGTTCTATTGGTCATGCTTGTGAACACCTTGTGGTGCGAGCTACTTATAAGTAGTATATGACGCGAGTGTAAACGTAATGTCTGGCAGCAGAAGATGGGGGAAGATCAAGAAAGGAAGAGTGGGAACACAATGGAATTTGTATGAAACGCATGAATAGTGGTGAAATGTCAGACAATGGATTGATGATGGATTGAAGATTTACAAATTAACCGTTTACGATATGGTTTTCCTATTTTACTGAGTAACTCTGTAATTTTCGTTAAATACAATTCGGTTGACCTCACCTGTGTTCTCGTTCACTACAACCTCCCAATGCGGCCGAGTAAAGGATTAATGAAAGCTGTAAACAACTCAATCGTGAGCTATTTAATTCAACGTGACCACAGAACGATTCTAAATTCTTCAAACGGTAGAACCAAAATCGATTTTAGATCTAAAAGCCGGAGCTATATGCGCGAAAAAAATACATTCAACCTCCTTTTATTACCATGAGCAACCCCAGACCCAATCAACCAGTAGATAGGATGAGCCAAGATGAGTAGTGTACATACAACAACCACCTTCAGTCAAATTTGATTGCTTTTCTTATCTTTATTCATACAAATTATCATTAGTATTATTGGTTTGAAATCATTAATAATCTCCTCCTAAACACTTGACCAATTTATTTAGAATTCAGCTCACTTTATTGTTTCTCATTTAAATTTATGTAACATTATCGATTAAACATTTGATAAGTGCAGAACTATTCTTTCTCCAACACTCTCTCCGACTCATATTTATTCTCTGATTATCGATGTGACCATTTCATTTAAACTTATCCGAAAGTGAACACTTCATATCAATCGTCTCAACATTGAAAATTGTATTTTATTTCACAAACAATCTGGAATTTTAATCGGCTATATATAATTTGTAACAATGTATTTTATGCCTTAAAGCTGGTCATTTTTCTGCTAGTCAATTAGAAATATAATTTTAGAACATAATAATTGTTGAATTATCAATTATCAATTATATTCATCGTATATAATGAGACCACCATTTATTGAGACCGTGGAATAATATATTGAACACCATAATAGGCATCTTTGTCAACATTTTGTCGGTTTTTTGGGACTTTACCGTGTGAAATTTGATTTGAACTAGATAGAAAGAATTCCTTCAGTGCCTAACTGTCGTTATGATCGTTGTAACTTTGAGAATATTCTTAACAAATAGAAATAAATTATGAATCTTATTAATTACATTCAATAGAGGATAGTCAGCTCATAAGTGGTGCCAATATAGGCAATTGGTTGTTCTGAGAAGATATAATCAGTCTGTTTTAAGTTTGCAACTCAAGTTAAGTGTATAACAATCCAGAGCTGAACATTGGATCAATATTATAGCAGCATTCGAAGGCAAGCTTAAGCGTAGCTTTCTCAGAATTCTTTTAAAGCAAAGAAATTTATCATCTTTAACCGCAAATTTCTGCTTGAAATTTGCAGGAATTACTCACTATATACAGCCACCTTACTGAACAATATCACATTTAAGCTACTTTAGTCACTACGTACTCACAGAACTATTAATTATGTATATATTATGATCAGTATATAAAATCTTCACAAAATATATGATGCTTACTAGAGTAACATACTCGGTACCACTAGATGTCATGAATAAAAAAAATGGTCAAGCCTGCTAACACTATACACAATTGTCATCAAACGCAAAGCCTACATCATGTAGATGCTTCGGAAGAGTTCTTTTAACTACCTATTTATCAACTTACATCGGTGAAACAAATAAAACAGTCTTCAAAAAATGAACAAAAATTAATTTGATTAATGTTTTAGAAGAACAATAGAATGTTTAGACATACTATATACAGTCGACATTTCCTCTTCTGGTTCAATTTTTTCATGTTGATTACTTTCACTATCAATGCAATGATGATAATTGGGCGGTTGGATTTCCACTTCTACACTCATTTTTAATTATTGTTTCAAAATAGTTTTTAAAGATATTATCCGAAAATTATGTTAAACTAATCACTGAATATGCTGTATTTCTCCAAGAATATTATCTATAAAAAGCAATGATAAAAGTGTTTTGATTCTATCAGCATGATAAGCTGAATATTAAAAAAATGTTCGAAAAGATCGATAAAGCTTTGGATCACTGTTTTCGTCTTATAGCTTTTAAAGATGAGGAAGTAGCCGTCAACTTCGTGCACTAGAATGATACGACGCATTTTTTTCAAACAAACGTTTATTGCTAATGCAAAGCATGTTTAGTCTATATTGGTACTTTTATAAGTCTTGTATTCTTCAAGTTAAGCGATTTTAATTGTATGGAGCTTTTATTTGACTTATCTTCTGTCATACGACCTTATAAAATCCTATGCAATTAGTTCATAACACAATGCTGACGATGATATTTTAAAGTAACAAGCTCGGTTAATATGTATCGGTGTACAAAATAACGACCACTGATCATATTGTTTAACCTAAAGTCATTAAAAACATCATTTTAACATAGCAGTGCTAGATAAATTTCACTGTAGTGAAATCTATGATTATAAATGTCCCACTTAGACAGAAAGTAGGCCATAAAAACCTTTTAGCGAAGTTATAAAACAAATCCTTAAAACATAAAAACCAAACAAATGTAAACACTGAATTGACATATGCACATTATCGTACAAGAAATGGCCTAATTTCACTAGAGTTGACACATACACTACTGGATGCCTACGTGAGAAATAAATGGCTTAGCAGACTTTACAGTTTTAGAACACAGTATTTGTTAAGTATACGACAGAGTTTAAATAGTTTTTAATCACCGTATATTCATTAGCCGACTCTTTGTTATACAATACGTAAACTAAACTAGATAACATATTGTACAACTACTGAAAGCAACCAACACATTCCATCCAGTAAGTCCCTAAGAAATAGTTTATAAAATTTATCTCCTGTTAAACGTTACACTTAATCTCATCATAATTTTAGGATGAAAAAAACCTATTTCAAGGTGGAAAACCCAGTGATGACTGTCAGTCATTTGCGTAAACATACTGATAATTATAGTTTGCACAAATCGAACCTCTGAATAACAAGAAAATTACATATTAGTCTATTTCGACTGGAATTAGATTTTATAGCCAGCGGACTATGAAGCTGAGACCTATTTTTCTTTAGTTTAAAGGACAACAGGATACTATAATTAAATGTAACTGTACATGTGACCTACAGTTTCATTGTTAGCAACAATCATACCATGTGAATGCATGCAATGGACCACTGGATTAAATGGAAATAAAGGTCGATTTCAAAGTTTGAGTGGTAAAATCGTGTTTCTTCATATTTACTCGAGCCATTTAATTCCCTCAAACAAGCCCTTAAAATTTATTTCAACATGATTAAAACTAAAATTCACCAACAACTGCCAACTGACTAGAATAAGTACAGTTGGGCAGCTAACATACCAACTATAAGACATTACTGTGTACTTGAAGCGGTACCTAGGTAAAAAGAAGCCGGAGTAAACTGACCAATCCGCTCGTACTGGACCGTGAAAATATATTGGATATTGGAGGATATTCATATATCCTACGTATTCCTGATCATGATGACCTTCAGTCCTACTTCATTCCGAATTACTCATTGTCATGTGCATTTTAAAACTTCTCAAGAAAAGCTGACTGATATCACCTGACAGTCATAGAAGTGAGCAATGCTAATACGAGTATATCATGGTTTTCAGGCTAAGTTTTCCATATCTAAAGTTTGAAGGATCGTCAGTTTCCTAAAGTACAGGCGAAAATCGGGCATTAACTGGGATCTAAATCCTTCTAGTTCGGTAGAAAACGAGTGAAATGTTACGTATTATTAATGTTATACTGATGTGGTGATCTAATGTCCAATAATATAAATCCTATTGCGAAGGACCATATAGCTTTTGTTCTGTTTATTTAGAAACATCAACTGAGAAGCAAAAAAAGCCAACAATTAAAAATGTAATGTATTTCAGAAAACATTTAGTCAGGGAGTTTTAAATACGTACCAGGTAATGTTGCCCTAGAAACAAGTCTAGTGTCCAATATTTTTTCACGAGGTAATGTACTCATTCCATTACCCCAGATAGCATTGACAGTAATGTGACTGGTTTTTAAAAGGCATGTGTGAAACGCCTGATGTACATTGTATAGGACAGTATTCTGAATGATGTCTCACTATTCTCCAGTGTTCATTTACTCTTAGTATCCGCCAGTCTCGTGACTACGCGGCATGTGAAGGATGCTCCCCGACGGTCGGTCAGCCTAGGTTTTCAAATAAATACTGAAAATCGCTTTTTTAATTGACCTATGCAAGTGGTACACATATTGTACCAGCTCCAATGTTAAATACCTCAACATAGGCTAATATCAAATATCTTTTTAACGACCCAGGATAAACCGATTAGTTTCTCTGATCTCTCTTCCTGGTACTTTGATTCAGATCCAGGTAAATATTACTATCTAACGAAGAGTAGTTAAGTTACTCAACTACTCAAATACCAGATAGTTTGGTAGATCTTTACGATTTGTGTCTTGTTATTCGAATTTGTCCGTTATTTCAAATCAGCTGATGCCTACAGAATATGGCTGTTCCAAGAAGGAAATAAGTCTTCAAATGGATTAACTGATTAGTAATGAAAACAAAGTGATAAGACGACAGTATAATAATCAGAGGAAGATTCAGATCAGGGGGATAACAGCTAAAAGTTATGAAACATACAAAGGTACAGCTGGTTCAAGTAGGGGATGAAAATCATAAAGGTGAGCATATGTTCTTCAGATCCTATCTCGAAGGCAGTAACAGAGGAATGTGTTACATCATCCCAAATGATTGCATTTCTTGACGAGAAAAAGTAGATTTCCCGATTGCATCGCCTAATCATCCCTGATGTCAACAGAAATCTATATTTCAGTTAGGATTATGATTTTCTGATGAACCTGACAGAACATATTTTAGATTTTGCATTAAATGCTTTTTTGCTGTTTTGTGTTATAAGCATTTCATTGTTTGTTTAGTCGACTGGTATTCTTTTGCCGAATCTTTTTCGGGGTTTTTTTCAATACTTGTTTGAAGTCGTCTAGCAAGTCCTCTTAAAACCTTATGCTTCATACTTTTTACCGGTAAAGCATGTCATATTAGCGTTGTTTCCCCTGCAACGTGTGATGAGTCCTAAGTTTTCTTTTCGCTAAATAGATGACAAGGCAGTCTTACGGTACCGCTCATTCTAAGCATTCTGACGTATCTAGCCGACTGTTCTTTATCCGTTGCTGCTCCATTTTCCAAAAGAGCAGCCTGTTTTCGACAAGGTCCTCGCCTTAACTTTAAGAATCCTAAGAGCTATGGTGTTTTCATTCTAAAACCCACCTACTGCTCCTTACTCTTAATAGATACTGGTTTAGTTTCTTTGATGGATTATCTCCCATGTTCCGATGTTCGGTTGTTACTTTTTAGACAAGTGATATGGCTTCTTTTGATATTGTCTTGTGCTCACTAGAAGCACTTGCTGGAGTGGTATGTATCAGTTTGACTACCCAGGCAACTCAGTATCGCGATGGATGGGAACCCAGCCACTGCAGAAAGCACATCAACGTACTACCTCACTGGTTTTAACTGGCCAAGAAAACGTGTTATATTCAAAGCTGCTTTGCTTTTCAGCCTCATCAGGCCGCGTTAAGCAGAGACTTCCCTTCTACTACCTCTATACATCTACAAGGAGTAGAAATCTGGTAAGGAATGTGAACCGGATTTCTTAGTTGGAGAATTTAGTCAATGTTTGATTGGAGTGATTCGCTTTCGACGCATCGCTTTGAGGATTATTATTAAGTATCTTTTTGAAATTTCTTTTTTACTATGTTGCTACATAATGAAATAAGACTCCTGTTAGTCATCCTAATGGTTATAATAATGAATAATTTTAAAATAATCATCCTATCTAAAAGCAATTACACTGAAATTCACCAAGAAGCCTTGAAAATCCATTACTGGTATACTCGAAGCTAAGTGAATAAAGTTTCTCCTACCTTACCTACCATCGATTGTACGTTCACGTTTGGCCACGAAAACAAAATTGTGCGCTACAACATGTGGTTCTGAAGTGCTCCAATAGAAAATCAATCGTTTAATAATCTCATAGTGATATATAACTCTTAAAAAATGGACGACGAAATGACTGAGTATCTCAACAAAGTAATTATCAATTTTTTTGGCTGTTGTTGGTTGGTTTTTCATGTTAAATATATGACTGATATTGTGCCAACTTGAAAACTACCGCTGGTCATTTAGTAGAAGCTGAAACTGTATAGATTACTTATTTATTGGGGAACTATAATCTTTCTATCCTGAAGTTTCTTATGTTGTTTGACATTTTTCTCAATATACCTTTATCATCATAATATATTTAGGGAAATGATTTATTGCAACATTTTAAGGTGATATACCAACGTAGTGATTTAACCTAAAGCTAGCTGTTTTTTCAGCATCCAAATCAAACAAATATCTTCCAATTTTGTCTGTCAGACTACACAATTATTCAAATTGGGAATAAGTTACTTTGTACATAATTTTGACACGAGTTGTTAACAGTACTTGCTAAATACACTTATTGGTAATGCAAACTAAGGTAGCACAAGTGGTCAGTGTACAAAAATTTTGTTTTTTAAAGAAGTAGCTGAACGAAATCTAGTCTGATAAGCTAAGTTGTACACGCAAGGTATATCGTACAGCTACTGTGGAACAGGAAACGAAATATAAATCATTTGTTAGAGAATATCTGCCTATAAGTTAGTTGATATACAACAATGAAAATTCAACTGACCGTAAACCACTACCATCAATATTCACCAAAAAGTATGAAAGAGATTGCTAAACCCCTTTGTTAGTCACTACTCAAATTATGCATTGCATATATACAAAACAAACTACGTTGTATCAGATCCCCAGCTACAAATAACCTCCTAGACCTTGATAATTACTCAAACTAAATTTACCATCCACTTTGGCTATGCTCAACGATTAGTGAGATAAAG